GCAGTTGGGACAGGGGTGGTAAAAACACTTCTTAACTATGGGGTTTACCACCCCCCCTCCCCTCCCCAACTGCAAATGTAAATCAAGCCTTACTGTTCTAAGCCTCCTATAAGGCTGATTTAACAGTGCTGTGCTGTGGTTTAGCTGCACTTTGCCAAAGACTTCTATTATATCTTGCAGGTTTTGTGCACTTTCTGAAAGCTCACCAAAACTCCTGCATTTAGAAGGTCTGGTGTGCTCTCAGAAAGTGCACAAAACCTACAATATATAATAGAAGTCTATGCTAAGCAGTGAAAACTCGCAGGAAAGCTGCAGATGCACTGCACCCGCAGGTAGACCGTAGAAGATCAGTGTGAAAGCAGCCCTATACTATTACGCCCAGTGTATTGCTTCACACTGTCCTGAAGATCTCTTCTTTCCTTCTGCTGGCATCACTATGGAGACCTCTAGCCGGGATAAGAGGTGGAGTGCAGTTGGTATCACTCCGCATGGGACAGGAGTCGGCACTACAGAGGAGGCATCAGCTTATGCTGCTCTTGATCCCTACTACAGCTCCAAATTTACAAGTAGTCCCTCTGCATTGTACTCTGTTGTTTGCTCTGGGATGGTGGGTCAGCAGCCCAGACCGTGATCTACCAGTCACCTGGTTGTGATCTACTGTTCGATCACCCCCGCTTTGGAACATGGAAGCAAACCCACGCAAGTAGAACATGCAAACTCCTGTAAGGTACGGTTGGGATTCTAACCGGGGACCCTAGTGCTTCTAGGAAGAAGTGCTAACTACTACATGTGTTCCAGCGTCTAGAAATCAATGCTCTGTTATAAAAAAAAAAAGAATCTCAATTTTCTTGACTTTTGAGATCTATCTGGGAAGAGAAAAATGTACGGATTTGGGGTTCAATTGATGTAGCCCTATTATGTACTTGAACTAAAAGCAAATGTATGCCTCTGTTTCCTCTTGTACCAAATTGTATTGTTACTGTAATGTCTACCTTCATCTTGTAAAGCGCTGCGCAAACTGTTGGCGCTATATAAATCCTGTATAATAATAATGCAATTAACCTCCCTAGCGGTCTGATTATGTCAGTATTTCTCTGCACAAAGCGGTACATTTTTTTGCATGGAAATATGTAGTTTTTTTTATTGTAGGCTGTAATTTTTAGGAATAACTCACTGAAATCTGTCCAAACAAGAGTCTAGTAAACATCCCGGGTATTATAAAATTTGAAACACGAAATTATAAATTTATAATTTAATAAATAATCATAAAAATCATAATATAAATAATATAATACATTTAATTCAATAATATAATCAAACCAAAAACACTGAAATTTGAAATATAGCGCCAAGTTTCGCACATCACTGAGCAAAGTCGCACAAAATCGTTTTCAGTGTCTGATGACGAATTTCCCCACAAATCATTATCACTCAATTCTGCAAGTGGTTCTGATTTACTATCGCTGTTCTCTAGCTGGTCTAAAACCGCTTTTGACCTAAAGGAACGCTTTTTTGGATTCCATGGACATTTCTCAGTTTCCAGGCAGAAAGAAAAGTAAAAAGGCAGGGCACAGGACAAAGCACTCGGGACAAAATGTATGTGAAATGGTTTGATACAGTAATGTTATACTATGTGATTTTAGTGTATTTAGTGAATGTCACTTTTTTTTAATTTTTAAATTTCCCGCCGGTTCCGTCCCTGTACGTCCCGACGCTCGTAGGGGGCATAAGCAAGATGAGATGGGCCGGGGTGCAGCAGGGGGGACATCGCAGGAGTGCAGGACAAGGTAAGTGCTGGAGGGAATCCCTGAGCAATGCTGCAGTGTAATCCCGAGTGTAGCTCAGGTTTACCGCTTCTGGTACTGAAAGTTAACCCCGAGCTACACTCGAGATTACCGCCAGGGAGGTTAATGAAGTTTTATGAAGCACCATGTACCATAATCATTTGCCCTATAGTTGAACTAGTGCTACAGGGTGGCAGGGCTGCGCAAAAATCACGTATACATACGTGATTTGCATTCCCAGGTAGTGCACGCTGCCGTACCCTCGCCGCCATTGGTGGTTGGAAATTTCCCAACGGCACCCGGCGATCGCCAAGTAAATCAGGCCATCTTTGACCATTGGTTTTTGACCTTATTATTATTATTATTATACAGTATTTATAAAGCGCCAAATGGTTCGCTCAGCGCTGTACATTACAAAGGGGGACAGAACATGTGACAGAACAATACCAATTCAATGCAAAACATGAGGGGATTGAGGGCCCTGCTCTTTCCAGCTTACAATCTAGGAGGGAGGGGGTGGTGGCACAGGAGGAGATAGCTGTGGGGGATGGAGTGGTGGGAAGAGTGGAGGAGGTCGGCAGGTTAGCAGGGGGTGGGGTAGGCTTCCCTGAAGAGATGGGTTTTCAGGGTGCGCCTAAAGGAGAGGAGAGTAGGTGATAATCTGATGGGTTGGGGCAGGGAGTTCCAGAGGATGGGTGACACCCTGGAGAAGTCCTGGAGGCGGACATGGGAGGAGGAGACCAGGGAACTAGAGAGAAGGAGGTCTTGTGAGGAGCGGAGTGTGCGTGCTGGGCGGTACTTGGATATTAGGTCAGTGATGTAGTACGGGGCAGTATGGTGGACAGCTTTGTACGTCAGTGTTAGGATTTTGAATTTGATCCGTTGGGCAATCGGAAGCCAGTGGAGGGATTGGCAGAGGGGGGGTGGCGGAGATGGAGCGGTTGGAAAGGTGAATGAGTCTGGCAGCCGTATTCAGGATGGACTGAAGCGGGGATAGCCAGCGGCGAGGCAGGCCAGTGAGGAGGGAGTTGCAGTAGTCGAGTCGTGATATGATGAGGGAGTGGATGAGCTGTTTAGTGGTTTCTGGGGTTAGGAACGTGCGGATTTTGGCGATGTTGCGGAGGTGGAGTCTGCATGAGTTAGTTAGTGATTGGACTTGGGGCTGGAAGGATAGGTTGGAGTCCAGAATGACCTTACTGTGACATTCTCTTGGCTGAGGTTTTTCTCTGTGCTAAGTGCTGGTAATTCTCTAGTTATCTCCACATTACATTGTATGACAGTTCAGATAAGAGCTTTTGTCCCCTGTTGAAGAAGGTTACAAATGTCACCAGGAGAGACTGGCCTGAGCAAACCATGACCTCAGCCAAATTCTCTTTCTTGTAAAGTGGAGTCATGGGTATTAATAGAATGTGTGAATGGATCACTTCACTGAATCGAGCAAGTGCTGCGACTCAAGGCTTGTGCTTCCTTTTGAAGTGAATAAATATTTCTAGACTCAATGTTGCTGCTTTGTGTCCATAGCAATGGAAAAAAGGCCATTACTGTCATGTTTCTTATTGTAAGTACAATATCATTAGTGTTCATTTCATGTTCCGATTGATAAGCCTCTTTGTCTGTTAGGCACTGATTATAAACTGATGTCATTTGTGGTCATGTAAAAGATATACTGACAATATTGTATTTATAAATTTTCAGCCAAATTTGGTAACCCCCCCCCACACTATATATCTGTGTACCTATTCACATGTCACAGTGTGAGGAAGGTACTGCTGCCGATAACCAGAAATTGTCAGAGGATGGATCGGCACCGATCATCAGTGCCCTGATGATCAGTGCCACCCACCTGTGCCCAGCAGTGCTACCCACCTGTGCCCAGCAGTGCCACCCACCTGTGCCCAGCAGTGCCACCCATCAGTGCTGCCCAGCAGTACCGCCCGTCAGTGCCCAGCAGTGCCGCCAGTTAGTGCCCGTCATTGCCCCCGTCAGTGCTGCCTATCAGTGCCCATCATGGATGCCTATCAGTGCCAGCCTCATCAGTGCTGCCTATCAGTCCCTGTCAGTGCTGCCTATCAGTGCCCATCAGTGCTGCCTATCAGTGCAGCCTCATCAACGCACATCAGTGAAGGAGAAAAATGACCTGTTTGCAAAATTTTATAATAGAAAATAAAATTTTTGCTTTTTTTTGTTTATAGCGCAAAAAAAAAAAACACAACGGCGAGTACATACTACAAAAAGAAAGTTCTATTTGTGTGAAAAAAAAAGATAAAAATTTCATATGGGTGCAGTGTTGCATGACCGCGCAATTGTCTTTCAAATTGCAACAGCACTGAAAGCTGAACATTGGCCTGGGTAGGAAGGGGGTATAAGTGCCCGGTAGGCAAGTGGTTAATGCTCTCCTTGCCCGGCCTGTCAGTTTAGGTGGACGGCCATGTCTTGGTAGGTTTGCAGTTGTGCCATACTCTTTTATTTTCGGATGATGGATTGAAAAGTGCTCTCTGAGATGTTCAAAGCTTAGGATATTTCTTTTTTTTAACCCAACCCTGCTTTAAACTTATCCACAACTTTATCCCTGACCTGTCTGGTGTGTTCCTTGGCCTTCATGATGTTGTTTGTTCACTAATGTTCTCTAACAAACCTCTGAGGGCTTCACAGAACAGCTGTATTTATACTTAGATTAAATTACACACAGGTGGACTCTATTTACTAATCAGGAGACTTCTGAAGGCAATTGGTTCCACTAGATTTTAGTTAGGGGTATCAGAGTAAAGGGGGCTGAATACAAATGCATGCCACAATTTTCAGATATTTATTTGTAAAATATTTTGAAAAACATTTATAATTTTCCTTCCACTTTACTATTATATGCCACTTTGTGTTGGTCTATCACATAAAATCCCTAAAAAGTAAATTTACGTTTTTGGTTGTAACATGACAAAGTGTGAAAAATTTCAAGGGGTATGAATACTTTTTCAAGGCACTGCATATTTTTTAATGCTGTCACTCTCAAGCTTTTGTTTTTTTTTTACATTTATTGTTCACAAAATGTTATAAAGATCCTGGTAGAATTAGGGGGAGATTTACTACAAGTGGAGCACTCATCTGGTGCAGCTGTGCATGGTAACCAATCTTCTAACCTCAGCTTGTTCAATTAAGCCTTTAAATAAAGCCTGGAAATGGATTGGTTTCTATGCAGAGTTGCACCATGTTTTGTACTCAGTTTTAGTAAATAACCCCCATTGTGTTCATCTTTTTCTTCCATGTCTAGTGCTCATAAAACCCTTCCGTCTTATATTTCAGGCAGCGGCACTCCTGCGGAGGAGAAAACTTGATTACTACATGTACAGATTACTACCTGAACTCCTGCGCTCCACGTCTTTTTTAACCGCCAATGGAAGCCTATACATTGCCTTCTTCTGTATTCTAAGGTCAGTATATACATTTTTGCCCTGTGCTGTAAGAGCATCTTCATGCCAGGGAGAAGGCTAACGTGGATAGAAGCATATTAATGCATGTGATCTGTCAGTATTTACCTGTAGGGTGAACAGAGGATATGGCTCATTGCAGCAGCTCAGTTAGAGGTAGATTAAGGAAGAAAGGTAGCAGCTTTGACCTTCTACCCCTATTCTTTTTATTGATGCTTATGTGGAGCTCAGTAGGAACACAGAAGCCACCTCACTGCGTGCAATACTTAGGTGAATTGGAGTGCAAAATGGATGGCACAGCAATACACCACACTGTTTTTCATGCACTGTGATAACTGCCTGTAAAATGCATACATTTATCACACATTACTGCAACATACTGGTTATAAATGTGCACTGTTTTTTTGGCCATCATTTTAGCTTACCTAATTACCGTATTTTTCGCTTCATAAGACGCACCTGACCATAAGACGCGCCTAGGTTTTAGAGGAGAAAAACAAGAAAAAAAAATATTCTGAACCAATAGATTGCAGACACAGTACAGGAGATGACCAGAGACTGCAGACACAGTACAGGAGATGACCAGAGACTGCGGACATAGTACAGGAGATGACCAGAGACTGCGGACACAGTACAGGAGATGACAAGAGACTGCGGACGTAGTACTGGAGATTACCAGAGACTGCGGACACAGTACAAGAGATGGCCAGAGACTGCAGACACAGTACTGGAGATTACCAGAGACTGCGGACACAGTACTGGAGATGACCAGAGACTGCGGACACGGTACGGGGGATGACCAGAGACTGCGGACATAGTACAGGAGATGACCAGAGACTGCAGACAGTACAGGAGAAGATCAGAGACTGCAGACAGTACAGGAGAAGACCAGAGACTGCAGACAGTACATGGGATGACCAGAGACTGCGGACAGTACAGGAGATGACCAGAGACTGCGGACAGTACAGGGGATGACCAGAGACTGCAGACAGTACAGGGGATGACCAGAGACTGCAGACAGTACAGGGGAGGACCAGAGACTGCAGACAGTACAGGGGAGGACCAGAGACTGCGGACAGTGCAGGGGAGGACCAGAGAGACTGCGGACAGTGCAGGGGAGGACCAGAGACTGCGGACAGTGCAGGGGAGGACCAGAGACTGCGGACAGTGCAGGGGATGACCAGAGACTGCGGACAGTACAGGGGATGACCAGAGACTGCGGACAGTACAGGGGATGACCAGAGACTGCGGACAGTACAGGGGATGACCAGAGACTGCGGACAGTACAGGGGATGACCAGAGACTGCGGACAGTACAGGGGATGACCAGAGACTGCGGACAGTACAGGGGATGACCAGAGACTGCGGACAGTACAGGGGATGACCAGAGACTGCGGACAGTACAGGGGATGACCAGAGACTGCGGACAGTACAGGGGATGACCAGAGACTGCGGACAGTACAGGGGATGACCAGAGACTGCGGACAGTACAGGGGATGACCAGAGACTGCGGACAGTACAGGGGATGACCAGACTGCGGACAGTACAGGGGATGACCAGAGACTGCGGACAGTACAGGGGATGACCAGAGACTGCGGACATAGTACATGGGATGACCAGAGACTGCGGACAGTACAGGGGATGACCAGAGACTGCGGACAGTACAGGGGATGACCAAGAGACTGCCGACAATACAGGAGATGACCAGAGACTATGGACCTTTGGGGAGGGAGGGGGAGCGGGTAGCTGAATTTGATAGGTACCAGCTCCCACTTCCGCGGAGTCATCCTCCCTTTAGTGTGGGCACCCGACTGTGACAACCGGGTGCCCACTGCGCATGCGCGAGAAACACTGCGCTTTATGAATAGGCCCGGCGTCTTCTGGGATACATGACAGGTCCCAGAAGACGCTGGGCCATTCACAATGCACAGCGCTTCTTGCGCATGTGCAGCGGGCACCCGGCTGTCACAGCCGGATGCCCACACTAAAGATGCCAGCGCGGGAAGACTATACAGCGCTGGACCGAGGATCAGGTAAGGTCCTGCTGCAGAGAAGAGCTGAGCGGCCGACCCGATATTCTGACATGGTGTCGGCGGCGGAAATACCGGATTGGCCGCTCCATAAGACGCACTGACATTTTCCACCCTTTTTTTGGGGGAAAAAAGTGCGTCTTATGGAGCGAAAAAATGCGGTAGGTTTGATTCAACCCCACTTTCCTGCAGCATTTTTCACTTACCCTCCCGGAACTCCATTTATCATTAGTAACTGAAGAAAACACCCATTACTTAAGGGTAAGAGATGCATGTATGATATCAATAAACCTTGCACCTATCAATTATAAATCGCCTAAATCCATATGTGAACAGCTGCCACCTCAAAAAGTGTAACCCCTACACTTACATATGACAAAACCAACCAATAGGGGTGCTGTATAATTGTGAATATTCTAGTGGATACAGTGCTTCAAACATATGGTGAAGCTAACAACATAAACATGTGTGAACAATTGTACTGGTATGCCCATATACAAATGACCAAAGTCCTGTGATAAAAATTTATTGTGATATGGAAGTCCTATAATGTGACTAAATGGCCAAAATGCCTTCTCCTGCAGTCACACCACCCAGTGTATTGGCAAACAATGCTCACTCACCAGACCAATATGACCCTTTAAGTGATAAGAAGGTCAGTGTGCTCTATGTCTTTGAACCAGGTTCTGTTCACTCTTCTTGCTCCAAAAATGCCTGGTTCTTTGGTATTTAACAAGCTGCCCAGCCTCTTTCCATCTCCTCACCATGCCACCAAAACACACACATAGGGGCCAACAAAGGAGCTCTCATAGTGCTGCATTTGTTTGATAAAAAATAGACCACTATAATTAGGGTTGAATCACATCGGGGTTGATTTACTAAAGGCAAATAGTCTGTGCATTGCAAGCGCAGTTTCTCTAGATCTGAGGGGAAACTTTGAAATGAGTAAAAGCTCTGCTGATTTCTATCATCCAATCATGTGCATGCAAAAATGCTGTTTTTCTTATTTTCTTTACATGTTCCCCTCAGATCTACAGCAAGTGCACTTGCAGTGCACAGATTTGCCTTTAGTAAATCACACCCGATTGTTGTGCCCCAGCTTGGCACCAAGACAACCAGCATGTGTTAATATAGTAAGTGCCACTGCTCCGCTCTCACCCGAAGCTGGCGTGCACTCCCTTGGCCAGAAATTGTGTATCGGATGAGACGTACCAAAGCCGAAAGTGAAGACTGGCAGTCCTGCCACTATGCGTTCCATCTATAAGACGTCGTCCCGAAGCAGGGCATTTTTGGAGGAAGAAGAGCGAATAGATCCCAGTTCAAAGACATAGCATTGAACTTCTTATCACTAAGGGGCCATATTAGTCTGGTGAATGAGCACAGCTCAATACACTGGGTGGTGTCATTGCACAGCTATAGAGGAGACGTTTTGGTGATTTGGTTACATTTTAGGACATCCTTATCACAATAAGTTTTTATCACAGGACTTTGACCGTTTGTATATGAGCGTATGAGTACACATGTTCACATATGTAAATGTTAGCTTCACCATATAAGTTTGGAGCACTGTATCCATTAGAATATTCACAATTATACAGTGCCCCTATTGGTTTTGATATAAGAGACTCGTGACTCACCTCATTTGATAGACCCAGGCCAATCTACTGCTGCATGTGGAGTCCCTAATCCTGCCTAAGCTATAAAGAGAGGTAGAGTATCAGCTGCTCCTCCCCAATATAATAAATTCAAGAAAGAGTTGCTCCCTTGGGACTTTAATGCAGCTAACAGAATATCACACATATGTTTATGTAAAAGAAGTTATATACTTTATTTTACAAAAGTTTCTTAATTACATCTTAAAATCATTGGTATCTCTGATACATTTTTTTCAATATAGTCCCTTCTATAGGGTTGAAGCAACAAGATAGTATACAAGATATTCCCCAATATCGCCGACGCGTTTCACTCATTCCAATCCAAGATCTTCAGGGGGCGTGAAACGAGGGGGAACTAAAACATCAATTAAACAGCTAGCATGTATCAGAGCAATCCTAAAATCAATGGTGTTCAGCAGAACAGAATTGCATGTCCTGATAAATGATGGCGTGAGTAATCTGATAGTACACACGTGGTCACATAAACATTTCAATATGTTGGCAGAAGAGGAAGAAGTCAGGCCACCCTCACATTGGTGACAACATCATTCCATGGAGTCACATACTCTATATTGAGTGGAGCAAAGGAACCCATTCCATTATGGTAAGATAGGGGATGATATAAAATCCAATCATTTCCCATATCCTACATCACTCCATCACAATGTTGGCTTGTCTTGATGGAGGTGGGAATCCCTGAGATACTGGAAAGTTTAGTGGATTTGAAAGGGGCACGTGGGCTTTGTTTAATGATTGGATTTTATATTGTACCCCTCTCTTACCAGTATGTAAGAGGAATACTTGAGTATTTTGCTCCACTCAATGTGACTCCTTGGAATGATGTTATCACCAATGTGAGAGTGGGCTGCCATCTTCCTCTGCTGCCAATATATTAACATGTTCATGTGACCACTCATGTACTGTCACCATCATTTATTGGGACGTGGAATTCTGTGCTGAACGCTTTTGTTTTTAGGATTGCTCTGATACATGCTAGCTGTTTAATTGATGTTTTAGATCCCCCTCGTTTCATTCCCCCTGAAGACGATCTTGGATTGGAATGATTGAAAACGTGTGGGGGCTATTGGGGAATATCTTGTATACTATTTTGTTGCCTCAACCCTATATTGAAAATATTGAAAAAAGTGTATCAGAGCTACCAATATGATTTTAAGATGTAATTAAACTTTTTAGAAAACTTTGTAAAATAAAGTATGTAACTTCTTTTACATAAACAGATGTGTGATATTCTGTTAGCTGCATTAAAGTCCCAAGGGGGTAACTCTTTCTTGAATTAATTATATTGGGGAGGAGCAGCTGATACTCTACCTCTCTTTATAGCTTAGGCAGGATTAGGGACTCAAGTCTCAAGGAGCTAACTCTTTCTTCAATCCTGCTTCGTCTAAGACTTCAGCGACTCATACCATACACAGGGCTTTCCTTTCTCTCCCAGTGGCTAAATAGAGGGGCAGTGGGGTGATTTGTATTCAGTCTACACATCTATAGAGGTCTCTGTACAAGAACACCTGTTACTTTACTTCACTTAGGCAAAGCACAGGTTCACTTTAAGATATCACAAAGGGCATGAGACGATGGTTTCTTGTTCGAGTAACTAATAAAATCCCAAGTCTGTAGATGGCTCTAGATGGCTGTTAACTCTGTATGGTATGATGTGCAAATACAAACCCTGAGTGTAGACCTAGGTCTAAAACCATCCAGAATTAAGAATGGGCCGTTGTTTGTGCAGGTTCAGTTCATGGCAAGCTTTTCTGTCTGCCAGCTCTATGGACATTACAGGTATAAGTGAATAGAGAGGTGGCGCCAGAGCTGTCTCAATGCATGGGCACCCCTGGGCAATACCCAGAAGCCCCAGGTGCACAGGGCCATGTTATTCTTGCATCACGCTTGCCAACTGTCCTGGATTTGCCAGGACAGTCGAGCTTTTAAGTAAGCTGTCCCAAGCAGCATCCAGGACCTGTACTGTGCCCTCCTGATCTCAGTATTGTGCCCTCCTTACCCCCCCTTCCCCATACTGTGCCCTTTATATTAATTAGTCTTTGATTTATGCCATGTTTTCTTATTGTTTAAAATCAATTT